CCTTTGGTCGTATGTGCTAGATAGAGCAGTAATTTTATCTCATATACCTTTCTGATAGTTCCTAAGTATAGCTCCCTGTCATCCACTTTCGCAAAGCCCTGCATGGTTTTGATGAACAAGGCCCACTAAGGTGTGAACAGGCCCTGAACACGAAGTCTTTCTTTTTTTGACTAGCTCCCACCAATGGCAGGACAACAGGAAAGTTCTCCTTATCCAGCGGTCCATCGTACAAACTTCATGGAGCCTGTACCCTGAATCTCTTACTCAGACTGCCAACCTAACTTACCCCGCAATCATCAAGGATGAAGTCTGCGCACAGCCACTGTTTGGAGTTGCGGTCACGGCTCCGCAGTCGAAGAGGAAGGGATCAGCACTTACAGAAAAGGGTTGGCGGTTGATGCGGGGTTGTGAGAGGCCTGTGCCGATATGGTTGACAGAATAATAGAAGCAGATTGCTGTTTAGGAAGTTGACTGTAGCTTGGCAAGTTTGGTTTGCCTGCCGGTAAGCTGCATAAGCTCAGAAATGCGTTACATCGTGGATGTCTGTTCGCCGTCACATGTCAAGTTGCATTGAAGTCATACAGCCATAAATAGTCTATTACTATGTTCAATTAAGCTTAAAGAACTTTCTATCTTTCCAAGTTTATTGTGAAATACGTACAGCAAACATGCCTCTCGATGCCCAAGCAACGGCCAAGGTCAAAGCGATAATTGACGATGCCTGCGCCGATCCAAAGACAGGTATACCCGGCACTACCATCGTAGCTGTGGATCGTAATGGCGAGATATTCGCTCACTCATCAGGAACGAGGGGTATCGGAACGAACGAACCGATGACTTTGGACAATATCTTCTGGATCGCTTCCTGCACGAAGATGCTTGCAGGTATTGCCTGCATGCAACTCGTCGAGCAAGGGAAACTCAAATTGGACGATGGTGAACATTGTGAGAATATCCTACCGGAGCTGAAGACGATGAAAGTTCTGAAGCCTGATGGAAGTTTTGAAGAGAAGAAGAATCTGATCACTTTGCGAATGCTGTTGACGCATACCGCTGGCTTTGGGTATACTTTCTTCAATGAGCGGCTACGAGATTGGACTCGGCCAGCGGGTGTGGATGAGTTCTCCGGCAGGATTGAGGATCTCATTTCTCTGCCTCTTCTGTTCCAACCCGGTGAGGGCTGGGAGTACGGCGTAGGTCAACCAACTTCACCCATCAAGCATTCACTGACCTATTTAGACTGGTATCGATTGGGCCGGTATAGCTGTTGAACGTACCAGCGGTCTTAGCCTGAACGATTATCTCCAGAAACAGGTGTTCCAACCTCTTGGTATCAAAAGCATGAGCATGTTCCCGGACAAGGCTATGCGTTCCAAGCTAGCCTACATGCACCACAGAGAACAAGATGGAACACTTCGGGTTCGGGATCATCTTCAGCGCCTTCCGTTAGTTATCGATCCAGATAACAAAGAGGAGGTTGCTTCCATCTTCAATAGCGGTGGAGCTGGCATGTTTGCGCAGCCACAAGAATATGGAAGTACGTCAGATATACAACCATGACTCCATGAGGAATATCGCTAATCTTAACAGAGATACTGAGTATGCTCCTGAACGGAGGAGCATGCCCAAAGACGGGAAACCGAGTTCTTCTTGAAGAAACGATCGATCTCATGTTCAGCAACAGCATCGAGAAGTTCCCCAACTTTGCCCGCCAGGGTATTCCTGCAGCGAAACCTGATCTTACCAACCCAATCAAGGAGTTGTATCACGTGGAGGGTGATCCTCCCCAGGTATGTTCCTCTACCATCTTGCAAATACTCACTAACACGTCAAAGGGCTGGGGATTGACCTTTATGCTCACCAATGGTGGCCCGTCTGGGCGGTCCAAGTCCACTGTTCAGTGGGCAGGACTCGCTAACTTATGGTGGTGGGCGGATCGTGAACATGGTATTGCCGGTATTGTGTGCACACAAATTCTACCATTCGCTGATAGCAAGGTTTTGGATCTTTGGGCAGAAGTTGAGACTGAGATTTATAAGTCAATTTTGTAGCTATAAGTAGAAGTCATAGGCCCGGCAATTCGATTACCGTAACTACCTATCCTGAAACCATCGTGACTCAGTACACCGTCTCTGAAAATCGACACACCAACTAAACCAAAATAGCAAAGAACGCGGGGAAGCTTTGCAAGCCCCAACATCGTCTAATCCGGGGATCCGGACCTAAAATGGTCGAAGTGGGGGACACAGAACTGGGGTAGAAATCAGGAACTGATAACTGGGCGGCCACCCACTCTTTTCTTTCTTGTGCATGTCCTCTCCCTGCAATCCCGTCTTCAATCTTCATTAATAACTCATTAATATCCATATACCCTCAAGGCGGTCGACACAATGAAGAGACAACAGTATGCCTGCGACCAATGCAGAAGATCAAAGCGGGGTTGTGATGCGCCACAGCTGGAGTTGCCCAAGAACATGGATCCTCTTCGCGATGGCAAGATGATTGTCGGGGAGAAGCGTATGTCATGTCTCCGCACTCCGATTCGTTGACTAACATGCTGCAGCACCACTAGTTCAATCTTCGCCTTGCTCTTATTGCATCAAGACTAACAAGAAATGTACTATGAACTGGGCCTGGACTCAGATTCAGGTGTCGTACGCCCTGACCGCTGCTGCTCGCGGTGAGGCGGGCATTGAGTGCATATTTCCTCAAAGACGTCCGTCATCAGAGAAGAGTCGCTCACCGACAACCTCTGTGGGAGCAGATGATTCAAGCCTCGATGCAGAATCGACCGCGGCTTCCTATGTTTCCCAATCCCTCCCTCCCGTTTTCGAGTTCTCAGATACGGGCTCTGGGGTGCAAGATCTTAATGCCCCCTCGTTTCTAGGCGACTCTCTTGATACATTACCTTTCGACTTCAAACCCCACGACAGCGACCCGCTAGATGCTAGCCTCTATGGACTTGGTTTCAAAGACCTCAATCCGCCATCGGACATCTTGTGCGAACCATTGGAGTTCTTCGACGAGCCACCGACACAACCCTCGCCGGACCAATTCGACGTGTTCTCACTTACACAACTTCCCGAGATCAATCTCAGCGAGCAATCCCTCATATCATCATCCAGCCCCAACGGAACGGTCAACGAGAACGACACACACACAAGGGCAAAGCGTCGTCGTGTCTCGAATACTTGGAGCGACACCCAATACAGCTCGCTGTCATCCTTCTCGGTCGACCAGTCCATGATGATGCGGTCGAACAACCAGTTAATATCGACAAACCTGTTGCAAATATACCACGACGTGCTGGAGCATAATCTTTCGTGCTGGCTAAACGAGGTGACATGCCCGTTTGGAGGTTCGAAAGACCTCAACAAGCCAAGCTCATTCGCAGAATGGGGCTCATCATGGACGAATAGAGTCCTACGACGAACGCTGAACCTTGACCGTGGAGCTCAATCGGCACAACTCATTCATGTATCAAGACAGCGTGAATCAGCAGTTGCAAAGGCTCTCCACCTCTCTATCATGGCTTTTGCAACACAGTGGGCTCAAGGCTCACGTCGTCAGCGGGAGCGGTATCCTTCCATGGCAGGGATGAACGACAACCCGCTGAATGAGTACATGGATGAAATGACGGAAGAGTTTGATCGCCATCTTCAGCGGAACTTGTGGGACCAGGCTCGAAGAGCACTTGATGAAGTTGCTGACGTCGAGTCATTTCGAGTTGTCTGCGCTGAGATGATCTTCGGGCTTACCCAGAAACCCCTCTCACCAGACGATTCGGCATACGATGAGATAGGCTGCTCTACCGGTGCTTACGACGCGGAAGCAATCACCGAGGAGATATCGGATATCATCGAGAACGATGGTCCACCAATCTACATGGAACGCGCAGCTAGAAAAATGCATACGTTGAAGTATCGTTATGATGCGGAGCGAAGGGGAATCACCAAGACCAGCAGAAAGAAGAGACCAGTGACTCTATCGTTAATGAGCACCGAAGACCAAAGTACAGTTAGTCTCATTTACTGGCTTACGGTTATGTTCGACACGGTCAGCTCGTCCATGGCTGAGAGGCCTGTTGTCGTGGTCGATGCGAATAGTCAGCACGATGATGCGCGTGGTGACACGGATTGGAACGTCCCGCTGTTCATACAGGATAGCTTGGACAAGCCTAAACTGGTTGTCCACTGGCCTTGTTCATATGAGGAAGCCGCAGAAGCAGTGACTAGATCCGCACCTGTCAAGGTTTTGATGTTCAGGCATGTTGCGTATCTCCAAACCGTGCTGAGACAGGGTGAGAGCGCAGAGAAGATTGAGGAAGTGATCGAGAGGTCTGTGCGAGTCTATCGCTATTGGAACATGACTCAGTAAGTCCAACTGCCCCTATTAGCACTGACCACACCTAACATGCATAGTGGCACGTTCTTCAGGGAGCTCCTCGAAAACTACGACTCCATCCCTGGGCGCATTCAGAGCTGGTTCCTCTGCATCTCCGCCCACATGCATCTTGGTGTTCTTCTCCTCGCCGATTTAATAGAGCACATCGACACCAACTCCCTTGGTCTCCCAGCCCAAAGCCAATCCCGTACAAATAGTAAATGGATTCTCCGCATTCGGGAGCGAAGTGCGAAAGAACTCTCCGACCTCGCGCGTGTAACAACACCCAGTGTACCGCTACCCAGCGAGTTTCACCACGCTCTGAATGAGAGCATGATCTTGACTGAGCCGTGGACCATAATTCTGATACGTGCTTTTTCGAAGACGGCGATTTATTGGATGGGTGAGGCAAATGATTTGAAGGTGTTTGAGGATAGTGGAGAGGTGGGTGAGAAGTTGGCGCAGGCAGAGGAGTGCATTAGGGCGTTGTGGATTTTGGGTAAGAAGTCGGATAGCGCGAGACGATGTGCTGAGGTTTTGTCTGGCGCAAAGAGGAAGTTTAAAATGTGAAGATAGACACAGATTCTTGGATCACACATAGAATAATAATTATTCCCGCGAGTAGATTATGGCGCCAACTTATGGTGAAGTCCGAGGTACATCTACCGAGTAGTTTCCGTTGTATTTCCTCAACAGCGTTCTTGAATCATTCGCTTCCCCAGATTTGTGGACATCAGCCTCATCTTTCCCCGTTCTAATTGGGTGTTTGCCCCAGAATAGGGGCCTCGTTGATCGCCATTTAACTCGGTATTAATGCCGCGCAAGCATACCGAGGTAAGCAGAGGACGGACAAGTACAAATTACTCTACGTCGCAATCATCTCTATTCTTGTTTAGATCTTGGCTAAAGTCAAATCACTAGACTGACCTATCTTTGTTCATATCCAATTTTAATTGACATAATGGCGTTCCATCCTCCATCTTGGGCCCCCCAGCTCCCCAGTACGTATCCCTCCAAACTCAATTGAATGGCACAAACATCTAACAAAGACAGACATTCCCGACTCAATCAGTGTCGCGGACTTCATCAACACAAACAAAGCAGGCAGAAAAGACTTCTCCAGCTCAAGAAACCCTTATACATGTGGTGTGACCGGTCAATCTCGCTCTGCCGCTGAAGTCGCTCAGCGTGTTGACTGTCTGGCGCGGGGGTTGGCCAAGAATGTCGCATTCGATGCTCACGATGGAACAGCTTGGGATAGAGTCGTAGCCATCTACGCTCTCAACACAGTGAGTAGCCCATCTCTGAATTTGATGATCTATGCTAACGAAATGATCAGATTGATTACATCCCGGTCACGCACGCCATTCATCGCGTAGATGGCATTGTTACGCCTGCTAGTTCAGCGCATTCGCCGTCTGAGCTAGAACACCAACTTCGATCATCCGGTGCGAAAGCGCTCTTCACTTGCGCGCCTCTCCTCGACACTGCCCTGAAAGCAGCCAAGGCTGTTGGAATCTCCGAAAAGCACATTTTCCTGCTTCCTCTACCAGAGACTTCTCCACATGCATCCTTAAAGTCAATTGAAGACCTCATCTCGGAGGGTCAGGATCTTCCACCTTTGTCGATCCCTGCATGGGTCCCAGGACAGGGTAAGAGACAGGTTGCGTATCTTTGCTACTCGAGTGGCACATCTGGTCTCCCGGTAAGTAAAGCCGTTCTCTTGGTGAATTCCTGTCTGACACAATGTAGAAAGCAGTTATGATCTCTCACTACAACGTTATCGCATGCACCCTCATGATCCACACATACGAGACGAGTACCCGAAAACAAGATGGTATCGACACACAGGTCGCCCTCGGTTTACTCCCCTTCAGCCACATCTATGGTCTTGTCACAATCGCGCACATTGCGCAGTATCGAGGTGACGAGATAGTCGTTATGCAGCGCTTCCAGCTCGAACAACTGCTAGCTGCCATCCAGAAGTTCCGCATTGAGCAACTTAGTGTGGTACCACCCATCATTGTACAACTCTTGAGCAGTCAGGATATGTGTCGGAAGTATGATCTCAGTTCTGTGAGGCTTATCTTCTCGGGCGCTGCGCCGTTGGGAAGTGAAACGATCCAGAAGTTGTTGGAGCTTTATCCCAAATGGCGAATCAGCCAGGGCTACGGTAAGTCCCACGCACCCAGATAACTAGCAATTGAAGTATACTGATAGTAAACAGGATTGACGGAATCCTCACCATCGGTCTTTCACACCAGCGAAGCAGACCCCCTCCTTGGCTCATCTGGGTCTTTACTCCCCGGCGCTATAGTCAAGATTATCGACCAAAACGGCAACGAGGTCACCGATTACGAAACACCAGGCGAATTATACGTGCAAGGTCCAAACGTCGTGCTAGGCTATTTACACAACGAGAAGGCCAACGCCGAGACATTTGTGTGGCGCGAGGATGGGCGCTGGTTAAGAACAGGCGATGAAGTACTCGTGAGGAAGTCAGAGCGCGGCTTCGAGCATTTCTTTGTGGTAGACCGCATCAAGGAACTTATTAAAGTCAAGGTATGTCCATCCACAAACGGCTTCATTTGATTATATACTAATCATTGCAGGGTCATCAAGTTGCGCCTGCGGAATTGGAGGCCCATCTTCTCGACCATCCCTACGTCTCCGACAGCGCAGTAATTGGCATTGTGGACGAGCGCGCAGGAGAAGTACCCTTGGCCTTTGTCGTGAAGAGCAAGGAAGCACAGGGTGTCTCTGATGAAGACGTCGTGAAAGCTGTGCATAAGCATGTTGAGGAGCATAAGGCGAGGCACAAATGGTTGAAGGGTGGTGTGAGAATTCTGGATATTGTGCCAAAGTCTCCTAGTGGGAAGATTCTGAGACGTATTTTGAAGGCGAAGGTCATTGCGGAGAAGCCGGTTGCGAAGCTTTGAGTGTGACTCTAGGGTCAACGTATATAACTCACCGTGCTCTCAGGGATATCTGCCCGTTAATAAATGCATTCGGTCAATTGCGATAGCTCTATTTGTATTGTATGCCAAGTGATGATCTCGATTCACAGGCATGAAGCTCTATTGGGCTCCAGGCTACGAAACGAGATGCGCCACTAACCTCACAATTAAGTGGATAAATAACATCAACAAGTTGTTCCCTGATGGGCAAGTGGCCATAGTACAGCTCAGCATCATCGCGACTCTGCTTGAAGGTCGGGCGTCGACAAACGACCATCACGAATTTTCGTTCCTCGTTTGGACTGTCAGACCGACCTGTTCTGGCTCCAATTCTCGAAGTCTTATCTCACATCAGCACTAATCATTTAGGACTCCTGGAAAAAGGCCAAAGTGCGCAGACACAATACGATAAATTTAACCACGACTCTATCTCATCTTCTCTCCTGTACATACACAATGGATTCGCAATCGAGTAGCTTCTTGTTCCAGACGTGCTTGGACCTTCGCAGTGGAGTCCTCAACCTTTCTACAGCGTGGACCACAGCGGTTTTAGCGACGGTAGTGGCTCTGTCCCTGCTAAACTATGTGCTGACCCCACGTCTCCACCCACGTGAACCGCCAACAGTCAAACCGACAATTCCATGGATAGGTCATATTGTCGGCATCATTCGTCACCAAGCAGATTACGGCAGAATCGTTCAGTTCGTCTCCTACTTTCTCAATCACAGGTTTCCAAGCACTGACAACATCACCAGCCATGCGAACCCTAAGCACCTAATCGCGACGCTACCCATGCTAAATGGCAAGCTCTACCTCGTCTTCGATCCCAATCTTCTTCAGTCCCTCCTCCGCAACAAGACCGCGTCGGCCGAACCTTTCTCAATCGACTACGCTAAGAAAACATTCGACCTGACGCACGAAGAGTTCCAGAAGATCAGGGCACCAGGCGTTTACGATGAATTCACTGAGGCGATACACACGAGCTTCCAGACTGCAAGTCTGCATCAGATGAATGTCCAGTTCTTGGGCTGCATCTCGGCGACGCTGGATTCTATGAGCAATGGAACGCTGCGCGCGCATGAAGACACGCATGGCAAGGAATCGGTCATAGCTGGAGGTATACAAGTCGAGAACCTATATCTTTGGTGTCGCGATGTTATGTCGCTTGCTACTACCAAAGCTCTGTACGGCGACACCGATCCTTTCGCATCCAAGCCATCACTGATCGAAGACATGTGGTAAGTCAAGCCAGCATCCCCTACTCAACATGATTGCTAACAGACGCCCACACAGGTGCTTCGAAGAATCGGTCCCATACTTCCTGCTCTCCCTCTTCCCCTCCGTAACGATGCCAAAAGCCTACAAAGCGCGCTCCACCCTGCAAGCCGTCACTTGCAAATGGTACTCAGAAGACCACGACGTCACCGACCACTCTGTATCGTCCATCGTCCGCAACCGCGCCGGCGCCCTGCGCAAAACTGGCCTCACTGGATTCGAAATTGGAAAGATTGAGGTCATTCTGCCTAATGTCGCGACGCTCAATGCCGTGCCTACGCTGTACTGGCTTCTGCTCTACATCCTCGATCGACCCGAACTTCTCACACGCATTCGAGCCGAAGCCGAAGCCGCAGCTGAGGTGGCGCATGATAATGGAAGAAAGACGGTTACGTTTGACATTGCAGAATTTGACACCAAGCTTCCTTTACTTGTAAGCTGCTATCGCGAAACGATGCGGCTCGTCAATCAATCTGTTAGCATACGTCGCATATTGGAGGACATAAACGTCACGACACCCGAAGGAACAACGTATATCCTTAAGAAGGGTACAGACATGCAGCTTCCTGCTGGTGTGGCGCACTACGAGGAAAGTGTCTGGGGCTCAGACGTCAACACCTTCAACCCGGAGCGTTTTCTCCCGTCTTCCAAGCGTAACTCCGATGAGGAGCGGAGACGCAAAGCAGCGTACATACCCTTCGGCGGAGGACGTCACCTGTGCCCCGGTCGCAACTTTGCCTTCGCGGAGATCATTGGCTTTGCCTCTTCTCTGTTCCTTGGTTTCGACGTTGAGGCTACGGGTATGGCCTTTGGCGATATGAAGATGCTCGGTCCTCAGCTTGCGGGCGGAACGGTCCGCCCCGAGAAGTATGGCGCTGGGCTAGGTGCGAAGATCAAGAGAAGGCAAGGGTGGGAAGACGTCAAATGGAGGTTTGAGTGTTAAAGTTCAAACGATGATGATATGGTTCTTTTTAGATCGTGTTCGCTAATGCTAGTACAGTAGTACAATGAACCTCGGTTTCAACTCCATACAGACGTGAAAAAGCCTTGCTTCCCTTTCGTGAAATGCAGATAAATGCCAATCCATCCATATACGTATGACATGCCCTGAAAAGATATGTGTTCGTGTTCGCCATAATGCGCCTTATCTTCGTATATTACATTCGTGTGTCGTATCGTTCATGTATAGAAATGTTGGTGTCTTGTTCAACCAAGTCCCTCACGTTGGTGTCTTGTTGTGTCCTGTTCGACAAAGTCTCTCACGTTGGAGAGCCCTTGGTCGTGTTTCCATTCGTCTTTGGCTCTGCTGCGTTATCGGCTGGAGTTGCTCCCGGTGGTGGACCTTCAGGCGCAGTATCCCACCATTGCATGGGCTGGTAGAGCACGCGTTGTGTAGGACTCACAAACCAAATGTCCTGCGGTGATTGATTCTGGGACTGGACGGTGATCATGGACCGATGATCATAGTCCTGTGTCATAGGGCCTTGGGAAGCTGGCACCTGAAACGTTTCAATGTATTGAGGGCGACTGGGGTCAATGTCGCCTTGTGCACACGAAGCTTCGGTACAGGAGCCGTCTTGTTGCTGTTGGCTGTCGCCCTTCTTTTGACGGTTGTTGGCTGTGGGCTTTTGACACATGATTGCAAAAAGGAGTAACTTGGCTTGAATGATTTGGCTTGAACGATTCGTCTCGACTTGTTCGTCCTGGGGAGTCTCTTCTTCATATAGTTTTCCAGCCCTCTGAGTCTTTCGACTGCCCCGGTCAACAACAATAACGGGTACAAGCATGCGTTCAAGCAGAAGCAATTCCTTCATCACAGACATATATCCGTGCTAATCGTAACCGCGCGCATGCCCTAACTGCCTGCCCGCAAGATGTATGTCTCTGCCACCATTCGGCGTGGAAGATCTCTGCTGATGTTTTTGACTGTAAGTGCATGCATCGCTGTCGAATACCCTTGGAGCTTGTGTAGCACAAGGCGTTGGCGGGGAGCACAAAGCTGATTCGCTCCCTTGGATCTTTATTCGTTGAGATCCTTCGGAGCTTGTGTCCCTTAGAGATGATTGGCATGGCAGACGCTATTGGTTGTGCATTTTGCCTCTTGGCTCTGGGCAAGACAGACAGAGGCCTGACATCCATGCAAGGATGAAGCTGGTACGCCATCGACGATGGAGAAATGTAAGGAGGGTCGACTCACGGTGTTGCAAGCTGTTTATCAGTCACTTTCCTGCATTGTGACTGCCTCAATTGAGGGGGACAATTGCTCGAATGGACAAATCAATTGCGCATGATCAACGGACAATCCCATCTGACAATCTCGATACTCTCAGCTGTACAAGGGACACAATGCCTTACTTTAGGGTAACAAGACCAGCCCGGTCCATCAACACCAAAAAAATAGAAGCGAAAAGAGCGCGTCGCGTTAGCACGATTCTCTTGTCTGTTTATTTCCTTTTTTTTTTAGTACTATACCCGCGACTCAAGCATCGAATGATTTACCACATCCTAGACAATCTCTCCATGTGCGGGTGGCCAATATGCATGGTCACCTTTGCAATTTCTCCAGCTGCATGCTCCTCTTCTTCTTTTGGTCTCTACACCTCGACATCTCACAGGCTCGTCGGAGAGCTCCCGATGCAAAGGGAAATCTACATGAGACAAACCTCAGGGCAAAGATGCAAGACGCTGCTTCTGAACTGTTTAATGTCAGCCTGATCCGAAGATCATCGGAGGAATAAATCTGACATGAGCTACCGCGAGAGACGCTGTATGTGTGCCATCCAGGTAGCTGGTATGTCTTCCCTGGAATAAACGAGAATCCCTGGTAGTCTGAATGTTTAGCCTGACTCGTCGTATTTGGTGCAATGAGCTTGGGTTTTAACAAAATGACGGGGCTCGATTGAAGCTTGTGCAGGAAACCATGGCCATCATCAAGCGTGGTGTCTTCAGACTAATTACTATTACTGTACCTGAGACACGCGCCCAACAGCATTTGATTGCACATTGAATATGATTGAAATGGCGGGGCACATTACATTGCATTGTAATTGCACTTTTCGATGCAACTCGCAATTCTTGCCCAATTCTGTCACACGATTCAGCCTTTGGCGTTTCGTGTTACACGAGACAATTACTACGTACTATCTTACCTGCGTCGCCACAATGTCTTCGATGCAGCCATCGCTCGAAAGCGACAGGACGGTGTACGCAGAGGAATGTCAGATCATCAAACGGTCAACTGAAGCCCTAAGCCGACGCACTCTTGTCTCCTCGGGACCGATAAAATTAAAATTAACCCGGGCATGGATTTTCAGGAACGTCTCAAGCAGTACAGTACGGGGTAACCTTTGATCTGATAACTTTACCCTTGAATGAATGTCAGTGTATGACCCGTCCTTAGAGCTGAACATCTTCCCGTAGCCTTGGCTCTGGTTTAGTTTATCCCAGCTGACGACAACCTCCAACCACTGAATCGGCGTCGGACAGTTTAAAAGCCCGCTGTTTCACGATCGAATCGTCATTAGTAGCGCAAACAACGCAATTAACATGTGGGAAAGCTCCCATCAACCCTGATGCTATTAAAACGTCAACTGTAGAGCTCTCGGAAGCTACGGAGAGTCTCTAGGGTAGTGCGAACATCCACCCAGTTAAGCTTAAAGTCTATGACGCGATAACTCCACCAAAAGCATCCTTTCAACGTTTCGCCAAAGCCGTCGCTCTCAGAAAGTTGTCCGAAATGCCGATTGCGGTAGATCCAGTGTCGTCATAGATAAATCATTTACTAGAGAAAGTCTTGTTTATTATAGAAAATATTATCCAGGAAATAGAGATAGTTAGACAGTAATGAGATAGTAGGCCTGTCACAGTCGGTCTACAGTTTCTCACAATGGCTGACGAGAGACCTACGCCTCGGGATGAGGATATCCCAGGCGGTTTCCCTGTGACGCCCAGTGTCAACTCGATGAACCAGTTGACGCCCACTGTCGATAGCGCCGATAAACATGAGGCTGGCTTGGGAGCCCCAGCTCGTAATACAGGAGCGTCGACCTATGACAATGTCACTTCTGGGCAGGACAATTACAGTTACAGCGGTAACGGTAACGATAACCACCACAACGGCACTTCAGCGGCACTTGGCGCATCTGCCGCAGGGGCTGCTGCTGGGGGTTACTTAGCTGCACAGCACCACCAACACGAAAACAACAACGTTCCAACAGAGCAAACATCCGACTTCAATCGCGGAAATGCACCACCACTTTCTGGTCGACGCTCATCTTCGAACACAATCCTTGCACCCCGCGATGCATCCACAGATGGAAAGCGAAAGAACAGCACCATCGTCAACGATGACTCTTCTTCCCCCGACGAGCCCGTTTTCGCACCCATAAAGTCCAACACGAACGAAAAGGAACACCCCGAAAAACCACCTCTCGAGAAGCGTCACCGTACTGAAGAGGACCTTTTTCGCGTCCTGTCGCGCCGCAAGACGAATGCGAGTACCCCGGCCGAGAAAGAAGATGAGCACGAGGACAATGAAGAACTCGACAGACTCATGTCGCGCATCTTCGGCCAGAAGCGCCAGCAGCAGAGCGAGGAGGAAAAGACTCGCCATAGCGGTGTCATCTTTCGCGGATTGACTGTTCGTGGTGTTGGTCTGGGTTCCAGTCTCCAGCCTACCGTGGGTGATTTTTTTTTGAGTCTCCCACGCAAGCTTGGCAAGCTGTTTACCCAAGGGCCCAAGGCTGCTCTTGCGAAACCACCAGTTCGCGATCTCATCAGCAACTTTGACGGTTGTGTGCGACCCGGTGAACTTCTTCTTGTGCTCGGTCGTCCTGGAGCTGGATGCAGTACCTTCCTCAAGACCTTCTGTAACCAGCGTTCTGGTTTCGAGTCTGTCGAGGGAGATGTTACCTACGGTGGAACAGACGCTTCGACCATGGCCAAAGATTTCCGAGGCGAGATCATTTACAACCCAGAGGATGACTTGCATTATGCTACACTCTCTGTCAAGCGAACCCTCACATTCGCCCTGCAGACTCGTACGCCTGGTAAAGAGTCTCGTCTCGAAGGTGAGACCCGACAGGACTACGTTCGCGAGTTCCTTCGAGTCGTTACCAAGCTCTTCTGGATTGAGCACACGCTCGGCACAAAAGTAGGCAATGAGTTCATTCGAGGTGTATCAGGCGGCGAACGCAAGCGTGTATCTATTGCAGAGGCAATGATCACTCGTGCTTCGGTACAAGGATGGGATAACTCCAGTAAGGGTCTGGACGCCAGCACCGCTGTCGAGTACGTCAAGTCAATTCGCGCCATGACCAATATGGCCGACACTTCCACCGCTGTATCTCTTTACCAAGCCGGTGAAACTCTATACGACCTCGTCGATAAGGTGCTGCTGATCGACCAGGGCAAGTGTCTCTACTATGGTCGCTCTGAAGATGCGAAGAAGTACTTCCTCGATCTTGGCTTCGACTGTCCTGAGCGCTGGACCACCGCCGATTTCCTCACCTCGGTCACGGATGACCACGAGCGCAGTATCCGCAAGGGCTGGGAGAACCGTATCCCACGCACGCCTGAGGAGTTCTCCGATGCCTACCGCCGAAGTGAAGATTACCAGAAGAACCTCCGCGACATCGAGGAGTTTGAGGGCGAATTGCAGACTCTTGCCGAGGAGCGTCGCGCGCACGAGTCGGAGAAGAGCAAGAAGAAGAACTACGAGATTGCCTTTCACAAGCAGGTCATTGCCTGCACGCACCGCCAATTCCTCGTCATGTTCGGCGACAAAGCCTCTCTCTTCGGTAAATGGGGTGGTCTTCTGTTCCAAGGTCTCATCGTCGGTTCGCTTTTCTTCAATCTTCCTGATACAGCTGCTGGTGCATTTCCTCGTGGTGGTGCTCTGTTCTTCCTCCTCTTGTTCAACGCCCTTCTTGCCCTGGCTGAGCAGACAGCTGCATTCGAGTCAAAGCCAATTCTTCTCAAGCACAAGTCCTTCTCCTTCTACCGGCCCGCGGCGTTTGCTATTGCGCAGACGGTGGTGGATGTACCGCTTGTGTTTATCCAGGTTATTATCTTCAACGTGCTTATCTACTTCATGGCGAACCTGGCTCGTACTGCGTCCCAGTTCTTCATCTCGTGTCTCATCCTCTGGCTTGTCACTATGGTGACTTATGCTTTCTTCCGTGCTATCTCTGCTTGGTGCGGAACACTCGATGTTGCGACAAGATTTACTGGTGTTGCTATTCAGATCCTGGTCGTGTACACCGGTTATCTGATCCCGCCAGACTCGATGCATCCGTGGTTCGGGTGGTTGCGATGGATCAATTGGATTCAGTACGGCTTTGAGTGTCTCATGGCAAATGAGTTTTACAATCTTGAGCTCACTTGCGAAGGTCAATACCTCGTCCCACAAGGTCCTGGTATCTCCTCTCAGAACCAAGGTTGTGCACTGGCAGGCTCACAGCCCGGATCGACCACTGTGTCCGGTGCCGACTATATCCAGCAGTCATTCACCTACACCCGTTCACATCTTTGGCGCAACTTTGGCTTCCTGTGGGCTTTCTTTTTCTTCTTTGTCTTCCTCACTGCTCTGGGTATGGAGCGCATGAAGCCAAATGTTGGCGGTGGTGCCATTACTGTCTTCAAGCGCGGCCAAGTTCCCAAGAAGGTCGAGGAGTCAATCGCTACTGGAGGTCGAGCCAAGGGTGAGAACAAAGATGAGGAGTCTGGTCAAAGCGATCCTGCCGCGACTGCTGGCGCTGAGCGCAACAAGAGCGACGAGGAGGTCACCCAGGAAGTAGCCAAGAACGAGACCGTC